CGGGCGCATCCTTTCGATTTCCCCTGGCGGCCCTTGCCATCCATCAGGGAAACGCCAGGAGAAGGAGCCACATATTTGGCTCTCACGGAGGCAACACTAGGAAACTGTAAACTGGAAAACCAAACATTTATACTATCATGGAAAGAATTTAAATTTCCTGAATTTAACTTTCCTAATGGCTTGTTTAAAGTAAACATCTTCTCACATATTTGAAAAGTTACTTGCAGGGCACTTTGACAAGGAACGCTCACTGCAGCTGGTTTCCACATGTCGATGTTTCTTTAATGAAGGCGCAATTTCAAATCCACTCCCCTCTTACCTCAGAGACCTCTACGCTGCCCCCAGACCCGCTGTGACCAGCACCAGGAGGCAGAGGGGGCTGATTGTTCTGCATCAAAAGCAGCAGCAGTCAATTTGTAAAGCTTCCCAGCTGGAAGTACATAAAAACGGAGAGGGAAGACTGCAGCACTTGGAAAACTACAATTATTCCAAGGTCTTTTTCCTACATAGGGAAGTTTACAGACAGCATGTAAACACCACCACACAGTTATGCCAAAATTATTCCACACAGACCCCCTTTAAGAGAACGGCTTGTGAAGTGCAGCCCTAGGAGGAGCGTGCCCACCGCACCGGGAGGGTTGCACCGGTTGCACGGCGCTGCCGTCCTCGCACGGCACAGACCGGAGCTGGCAAGCTCCTGCAGCCGGGGGAAGGTGCCTCGACTACGACTCCTCAGCACTCCTTCTTCCTCCATTCCCACCGGAGCCGGTCGCTGATAACCACAAGAGCTCTCTACTGATGGTTGCCTTTTGGAATGACCTATCCAGAGGGAAACTGCAAACAAGCGCTCCGTTCATCTGCACTCGGTGTCGGGAGCAGCGGGAACCCGCATCGATCGCCCGTCCTTACACTTGCAGCAACTGCCATCATCTCTTTCCAGACTCTTACGCCTTTTCTCTCTGTACATATCAGAAGCCTTGAACCAGCTTTAAAAACCACATTGTATTCAAATGCTCCACACCACGTATCCCAATTCGGCAGAGCCAGAGGAACCAAAGTGAGCCTGGTTGTTCTAAAAGGTTCAGAACAGTTTCTCACCAACTTATCCATTGGGTATTTTGAATTATATTGGAAAAGCCAGTACAGAAGCTGTTGATTCTGAAATATGATGTTGTTTTATTTAAGTTTAAAACGATGCAAACCCAGGGAAGGGGAGGTGGCGAGCAAAGGGCCGCACGGGTGCCCGGCTGCTCACCAGCATCAACCCAACTCCCTCCTTTTCCACCTCCTTTCCTCTCCAGAGGCCCGGCTGCGCAGTGCTTTGCTCGAGACAGTTCTTCAGATCCTGAAGTTCACAGCCCTGCTCACGGGAGGCATTAATTTACGCTGCCACTTCTGTTCAGCTCATCCTTCTGCAGCTGGTATTGTCACGACAAGGTTAGCAGAAGCAGCAGTGTGCTGGCAGCAACACCGCTCCCCATAAAATTCTCCCTTTCAACAAACAAATCTTCCCATCAATAGCAAGCAAATACCACTTTTGGAGTCACACCGCCGGGCCGTGCCCAGACCAGGGGAAGGCTGTTTCCACCACCAGTATCACCAGTCAGCACCCATACTGCTAACCAGGTAAAACTGCCTGTGACAGCCGCCCCCTTTTCAAGGCAATTGCCCAGGCTGCATTAATGCCAAGCGCCCATGGTTTGTAAAGCCTTGCTAGCAACACTTCGGTGCCTCCTCCCAAATTGGAGACAGTCTGCTGGAAGGCAGAACTCCAATATTTCCTATTTTTCCCCATGTTATCTTTTTGCCCACCTCCAAACTCTAAGCCTTTTCTTTTTGCTTTAAAGTTTTTACAAAAAAAAAATCTAAGGATATTGTTTTAGTGTAGGCTTTCACAGCTTAAAAAGCAACTTCTCATTCATATGGAAATCCCAAATTGTCTCGTTTTCCATAGGATTTTACCTGAGCTTTACCAGGGTTTGGAACAAAGCCAGAGATTGCCTCAGCTTGTCCCAGCACACCTCCAAGTACAACAGAAATCCTCGGCCATCCTCCGTAATCCTTTGTCCGCTTAAGACCCAGTCACTCACGTTAAATGGATCGCAATAAACACACTGCCCTCTGCCTGCGCAAAAGGCTAGGGACAAACACAAACTAAATGACCATAAAAATACTGATTTCAAGACAAACAGGTGATGACGCTTCACTTTCAGAAAGCAACAAGTTACAGGCAGAAAGAAAAATCAAAGCAATGGCAAAAAACCAGGGCGCACAGGAAGGGAGAGGAGGGTGACAAGAAGGGCCAGCAAGTGCCGGGCTAGCCAAGCCCAAGAGCTATGGGAAACTCTCCCTGGCTCACACACTGCTCTGAATTTTTAACAGACTAAGGAATCCCTCCTTGTGAGGGAAGGGATGGGTTTAGGAGGCATACAGGCCATCGGCCAACATGCGCTTACAGAAGGCAAAGCCGGTAACATAGCTGCACCTGGAAAATCCCCCGTGGAAAATAAACCAGGAAAGATCCGTACTCTCAGAGGTCCTTGGCC